TATAAAGTTGCGTTTTGTGCTTTAACGTCGAAGTGCGTAGCATTGCAAAGATATTTTGCATTAATGCGTCTTCATCAGGGGTCACCGCGTCGTCACATATTGTTTTTTTCTGTTGTTAGTATGATTCGCTGCCCAGTGACAATAGGTTTCTTCTTCAATTGGTCATCAATAGCTGGTATACGTCTAGAAACAGCTCTAAATCTTCGCTTCCGGATATTGAGTGCACTATAGTCCAGACGTTCCACAGCACAATTATACAGTATCGTGGACACTACATCACTGTTCGACCACGGCTGGTTTGAAGCTACCTGCTCAGCACGAAGCTGCTTAAGAAGTGAGAACTCTTGTGCAGAAAATTCTCTTACAGCGTCATACTCCGGCTCTAACCCCAATAACCCAACAAAATTTTCACGAGTGAGATACTTCCGTTTGCTGTAAGTGATAGACAGCAGCGAGCGAATATCTTCTGTAGGTGCATTTTTGGCAAGAAGGTCCGCCTCCACACTGTTCGTTTGAAGTTGAATCAAGTCGAAAAGACGCTCCCATGGTCGATGTTCCGCTGGTGGTGCCGCATTACCGCGGTATATTTCACTTGGGGTAGCATTGCTGAGTTCCGTAGCCATAAGTTTTCTTTTATATTCTACTTGAGGTGACTCTGAAATGAGATCATTGCACATGATGGCTGCTTGACAAACACTTCGAAAGTTGGTGCCCTCAAACTTGGGATTTCTGTGGTACTTGGCACCTACATTTAAATTATGCTACATTGTGCGGTTAGTGGACGTATTAAATTGCTCAGCATATACTCTTAAAATCTCAAACCTGTAAAATGAATATGTCAAGTATGCGCAGCCCAACTTCAACTGACAGAACTCGATCAAGAAGCTTACGGAGCTTGGAATGAATGGCCTCCAGTTGACTAGTAGAGATGACGCGAACTTCTCCCCCTGCTTCAGTATACTGATTCTCGGCAACATAGAGATCACCACGACGAACTTGTGCTAAATTACTTGCTACACAACCTTCCCATTCTGACTGCTTCACGGAGATAGCTGTTGGGTCCAGCGCTTTTAATGTCGCCGCGAGCCGATGCTCGCAATCCTCAGGAGTGCGTAAATTGCGCTGGACGTCGTAGATAGCTGCTGACAGTTGTCCAGCGAGTCACCTTTTTGTAGAACTATCGCTCACTTTGTCTGTAAATCTAGTAATGACATGGAAGGGGTCTTGTTTGATCTCTACTCCATCGCCAAAAACTCTCTCGATGAGATTACGATTAGCATTAGCGTTGTTGCACACACATATCCGTGGACCATCGGACGCATTACCCATCTTAGATACGAGACTTTGCAAAAGAGTTTCCGTCTCGGCATGATTTTCCGATTTAGTTAGTGTTCTTCCCATTATTTGACCTACCTCGTTTTGTACTAGCAGCAACATTCGAATGCTTGCCGACTGTTCTTTA